ATGTCCATTGTATCCCGTGCTTCCCTTCAGACGTTGACGTCTTCATGATCCAGTCGATCACCAGGAGAAAGAGAAAGGGTGAGAGTAAGCAACCTTGCCTGACACCGGTCTTTACTTCGAACGACTTTGTCAACTGTCCTCCATGCATAATTTTGCAGTTTAATCCATCATATGAATTCTGTATGATATTGACTATCTTCTGAGGCACGCCGTAGTGTCGAAGAAGTTTCCATAGTGTTGTTCTGTCCACGCTATCAAATGCCTTTTCGTAGTCAATGAAGTTGATGTAGAGTGATGAATTCCATTCAATTGATTGTTCCACAATGATCCGTAGAGTTGCGATTTGGTCTGTACACGATCTATCCTTACGGAATCCTGCCTGTTGGTCACGAAGTTGGGCGTCTACGCAGTCCTTCATCCTGTTTAACAATACCCTGTTGAAGACTTTTCCCGGTATTGAGAGAAGAGTGATGCCCCTGTAGTTATCACAGTTGCTGAGATCGCCTTTCTTCGGTATTTTGATCAGAAGTCCTTCTTTCCAGTCTGTTGGTACTTGTTCCTCATCCCAAATCTTATTGAAGAGAATGTGGAGTATCCTTGCAGTTGCCGCTACGTCTGCTTTTAGTGCCTCTGCTGGAATGTTGTCCGGTCCTGCTGCTTTGCCACTCTTGATTTGTCTGATGGCCATGCTGATTTCTTCAATTGTTGGTGGGCCAACATTGATTGGGAGGTCCGTGGGTGCTGCTTCGATGTTGGGTGGGTTCAGTGGAGCTGGTCGATTCAAGAGTTCTTTGAAGTGTTCTACCCACCTGTTTTGTTGCTCTTCAATGTTGGTGATTACCTCGCCTTCCTTGCTTTTCACTGGTCGTTCTGGTTTGCGGCGATTTCCAGAGAGTTTCTTTGTCGTGTCATACAGTTGTCTCATGTTTCCTTCTCTTGCAGCCTTTTCCGCCGTCGTTGCTAAATCTTCCACATATTTACGTTTGTCGGTTCTGATGCTCCTCTTCACTTGTTTGTTTACTTCTGTGTATTCAGCTTGTGCCTTGGCTTTTTCTGCTCTTGTTCGACTGGTATTGATTGCTGCCTTCTTGTTCCTCTTTTCTTGAATCTTATCCAGTGTATCAACAGTGATCCATTCCTTGTGGTGGTGCTTCTTGTGACCCAGGACCTCATGACATGTTGAAGTGATTGCCTCTTTGATCCCCTTCCAGTTGCTCTCCACAGTAGTTCCTTCTCCATTGAGTAGATCATGAAAGGCCTGGAACTTGTTGCTGAGGACTATCTTGAATTTGTTGAGTTTGTTAGTATCCTGAAGAAAGGCCGTATTGAACTTTTGTGATATTGTCCGCCCCGTTGTCCAGTGCTTCTTGAGTTTCAATTTCATCTTGGCGACCAGCAAGTGATGATCTGATGCTATATCAGCTCCTCTCTTGGTTCTCACGTCCTCTATAGTCCTCCTGAACGTTTTGTTGATGCAAATATGGTCGATTTGGTTTTGCGTGGTGTGATCCGGTGAAGTCCATGTGGTTTTGTGTATGCGTTTATGTGGGAATATGGTGCCGCCTATGACCAGTTTATTGAAGGCACATAGGTTTGCAAATCTCTCACCATTTTCGTTCCTTTCTCCCAGTCCGTGTCGTCCCATGATGTCTTCATATCCAGTGTTGTCCGTTCCAACCTTGGCGTTGAAATCTCCCATCAGAATGGTCAGGTCCTTTGTTGGGCACTTCTCGACGATTGACTGCAGCCTATTGTAGAATTGATCTTTAGCGTCTTCATTGTAGTCGTTGGTAGGCGCATAGCATTGGATGATGTTCATTGAAATGCCCTCTTTCTTTGTTTTGAAGGAGGCTTTGATGATCCTTGGTCCATGAGATTCCCATCCTATAAGTGCATTTTGCGCTTGTTTGGACAGCATCAATGCAACTCCTTGTGTATGTGGTGCATTTTCTTCTTCATGGCCGGAGTATAACAGGAGCTCTCCTGTAGTTAGTCGTTGTTGTCCAACTTGTGTCCAATGTGTTTCACTGATCCCAAGTACCTCTAGGTTGTATCTTCTCATTTCTGCAGCAATTTGGAAGGCTCTCCCGGTGTCCCACATTGTACGAACATTCCATGTACCTAAATAAATGGTCGCTCTGGTTGTCAGAAGGGGCATCGGCCTCGTAACTTCCGAAGGAATTCGGCTTTCATCATGAGGCGTCATAATTCTTCTAAATGAAGACCTTCTGACTCCCAGGGCAGAGTTTAAAAGGTTTGAATAATTTTTTCTGGTTAGCGTTTTTTAGCGAGTTAGTTTTCTACGGGATGGGGACGCTAACCCCATGCCCAACCCTCCTCCTTTATCCGGGCTTGGGACCGGCAGTAGCCTCGGAGGGACTCTAGACGGAGTTAGGCTTAATAATCACTACAGATTAATTGAAATCCATGTATAAATGATTACATAGTGATCAGTTATAAAATAAGCTTTCAGATAGCACCTGTACTTTTTCAGTTAGCAGTTTTCTCACAATCACATGATATACTTAGTGAACATAATATTCACTAAAGTACTAGTTATCTCTACGGAATCCTAATGAAGAAACTGGTACCAGTGGGCAGTACTTGCCACAACGCGCAACAGAAATCGTAAATCACTATTTCTGCCTACTACTAAAATCAAGATTCACCATAGAAACATGGAATTCAGTGAACAGACGTACCGTCCTATTATACAAAAATATACACGCAGTCATGGGAGACTGAAAACTAATCAATATTTGAAGCTCTACGTATGAATAGATGGTCTCCCATCTCACTACTACACTGACTGCCATTAGACCACAGACAAAATTCAAATTTAATGATAAACTTGAATTATGAAAAACATTTTACTTAAATTTTATACCTTTGGTCAATAAAAGGTCATTACGAAGGATCGTACTAACCAAAAAATGTATACTTAGTAACTTATTGATTTAAGGCTGTACAACTATGTTGGGACTCAAAAAGTGTTAACGTTTTACCTCAAAAAAAAACTGAAACGGTAATTATTTCCTTTTCATTACTGTGTTATTTTACGTTTGCAAAAAATAAGTAAACACATGACTCAAACAAGCAGAATTCAATCAACCATGTATTAATACCTTTCATGTCCAATATGCCACAACCCCCCCCCATTGTTTTATCGTGACCATCATTACATTTAAACTATACGAAGTTAAAAAATTTAGGGACATTGGTAAACAATATACAATATGATCGTTTGGAAACCTTTGATTGTCGTGTTATATTACAAATATTTTAGTTTTTTGATAGCTTGAACGCATTTTAAGGTTCATTGAGTTGTATCATGAATCTAATGATTAAGTATTTTGAAATTTTTAATTCTAATCCAGTAATAGAAGACGATATCTCTCTATATAACCTGTGAGAAAAGTAGATTGCACGAGATATTAAGAAACAAATTAATTAAAAATTTCACACTTTTCAGTTCAGTACGGAATTGATTTACTTCAAACTATTGATTGAACTCATTAACCACTATATAAATAACACAAACAAATGAAAACAGAAAAACTTACATTGAATTAATTTGGTTCTTAATCATTTAAACCACATTACGATTGGAAGTAAATAAGTTTATGATAACACTATAGTTTTTTTTAATCAATTTTTGAACGATAATACATTCTGGAATGAACTCAACAGAAACAAATCAAATCCCTGAGGTGTTCATTTCATGATAGTTACGTAATAAAGATGTATCCAACAAGGTTTGCAGTTAACTAAGCACAACGCATTCTGTGAACTATACTCCAGGAATCTAACTACTCGTAAGATGACATTGAGATCCGTAAATTTTATCATTCACCGATCAAACTTCGATGCTTTTTATGAGCACATGAATAGTTTCATAAATAGTTCTACATAGCTTCTTCACTGTTTTTTATAGATTTGTAGGTAAATGAATGAATGAAATTAAAAGAACAACATTTTGAGGATCATAAATGACCATACAAATTTGCTTAGTCATCTTTAAGCATTAAGTGCCACAGTTATTCCATGCGCTATTACAAACATAAATCGCTTTAGGGAAACGAATAGCAGATGAAAAAGAAATGACTTTTATTAACGTAGGTCATCAATCCATTAAGTTCTCTGTGTTGGTTGGTGTTATTTCTTTGCCACTATAGTGCTATATACTTTTTCTCATGAATGTAGGCCAATCTAAGGACTCCGTGAAAACGTCTTTTTCAAGTTACTCATTAGGTGACCGTTACTTATTATAACTTTATAAATTCCACACTCAAATCTTGGGGATGTTACCTTAAATTAAGCTGGATTGATTATATAGTTAAAGATAGCTTTCTTAACAATTGTAGTGGGATTTAAAAACAGTGACTAAGAGAACCCCCTTTCTTCAGCTAAGTGGTACTGAGGTACAGCTTGTTGGATGAGAGTAATTCACAATGGAGTATTTCAACGAATTAAATTTAAAAAGTTTAATCAAAATGCATTATAATCAGTAAACATAATAATCTTACAGCAGAATTTTTATTCATTTATTCAAGCCAAACTATTACACATACATAATTCTGACTGATTTATTTTCAGTAAGTGAAACAAAAAAATTAGTTGTTGATCAGTATTTTACTCGTGAACATCCAATACAGTTTTTTTTTCGCCCCCACGAATTAAAAAGATTGGTTAAACAGGTAAGACAAAAAAGTTGGATTCTTGATTTATTTGAATACATTTAGTTACCTATGTACACATACAAACAGACAATATGTATCATATCACACATGTCCATATATAAAAAATAGAAACGAATCGAATTTTTCAACAAGGCATTCTTACTACCCTGATCAAGGCAGATATAACACATCATGAACGTCAGTAATCATTTTTGATTGTTTTTTAATGACTACAACAAATCGGAATATTTAATCACAATGAGTCATGTATAGACAAATATGCATAATATGAAATTACACCATAACTATATTCACCTACACATACAATAAAATCAAATGGCAGATTAGATAATTCTATAAATTGTTTGGGAAAATGAATTTACACTACAATCATATATTCAAAGTCTAAGTATTTATTTATTCTACTATCAATACTACCAATATGAACAAAACTTGTTCCTATCTTAAGTGGTCTTTATGTTCATTTAAGAAAAAAAAAGAAACAACACAACATAATGTCTATTTTATGTGTACCTGGGTCATGTCCTACTTAGAATTTAGTTTGTAACCAGCATTTAGAATAACAACACTTGAATTTATTTGATATATACTACTGATATAACGATAACCAACATAAAATAAACTCAGACAAAAGAAGATAATACTCTTTGAAGTAAGTTTTCACAGTTGCTATTTTTACTAAAAATGTTTTATGTTGCAAAAATGTATATGGTCAATTTCAAAAATTTAATATTCATAACATGGTGAAAATTTTCAATATACAAGGTTTCTGTGTTTTTATGTATGATATTAAAAACCAACGATCCGATTCATATGCATATTGGTTTCATCATGGTCAATAGCGCTACATTTATGAGGTTTCAAGTGTATCTTGCGAATTGATGAATAAAAGCGGATGCACGTTGTAAACAACATACCCACTGACTTAATTTTCGATAACTACACGAATTATTTTTACAAAGTCATTTACATCATACTGCGAAATACAAAATAATCGTTCACGCATTTAGACATAGTTACTATATACTATCTAATTGTTTATATGTATATTTTATTTTTAAATGTATATTTCTCAATAACTTGTAAGTGGTCGGTAGATTTTCTCACTTACACACTGACAATTATTTTGATGCTAATCGGTCATAGAGTATTGACTAATATCATTCTATCTAGTCGTCAATCGTAATGAAATTTCACCGATTTAGTCTGGACTGTTCATGATGATAGAAATAGATATATTATAATCGAGCAGCGAACTGACAGGTGACAACTTATCTTTATAAGTGCTTCCGATCATCCAAGATGGTTTTGAATCGAGTGGTATGTCTGTATTTACCCATCAACTACAGTTGATTTTGTCAATTTATTTTCAAACTCGATAATCAAACTTAAGTTGAAACTAATCGTTTTATATAAGGCGAATGGGTAGTTATTAGGAAATCGTTGGGTTTATTCTTAAATTATTAAACAGCTCGTATAATGCGATAGATTGAATTCCATATTATGGGACTTTGTCAATTTCTCATGGTATCAAAGTTTCCTCTACCTATCCCCTAAACACACTGACCTAACTATTTTATCTCCATCGAAATGTTTTAGGAAAAAAAAGATTACTAGGTTAGATATTGATCCATTTATCATTGATATATATCAAAAATTCTTTTAAAATAACAAACAAATAGCTGTATTTTTTGTCGAAAATCCCTTAATCTTTACGCTTTACTGAATAACAATCTTATTATTATAAATTCGGTAACACAACTACTGATGAACTTCATATATTAATATCTTCTTACTTCACTGATATACACTGAGAAGTAGACTCAACAAAACTCAAAGATGAATGTTTGTAAAAGCCTTACCTATTTTATACCAAATAGCTTGATTGTAAAATTATAGATCGTAGATAATTTGATTTCGTTATACCTATTTAAACCTATGCATAAATTTCGCTGAAATACTTTAAAATGTTTAATAATCGACTATGAACTGAACATTTCGAAATGTATCTAACACTACATATTACTGAGTATGTTCGTTTACTGGTATAGTTAAAGTGTACCGGAAATATGGAATACTAATTAATAAATGTTTATATGACCAAGTAAATTTGTATATCTCAATTTAATCAGAAGGGTTTGAATATTGTGTAATTACAACTCAGCGATTTCCATTAAAACCTATTTGATCTTATTTTATGCACAAATATATTAAACAATTCGTAACCAAGCTGCTGCCTGGTTTTTAGACGTACAAAAATTACTATCCAACAGAACTTGTTTTTCAAGTGGTCAACGCTTATTTTTCTGTTAACTATGCATCAATGAAATTGCGATCAGTAGATCTGTTATCATTATAGTATTGGTCAGAATTTTCAGACTTCATAGTCTAATTTGAATGTAAAATATCAAAGGTTTTTGTAAGTGCATTCTTATTAGTCTCACGTTTGTGTTTAGTCTTTTCTTATCCATGTAATTTTAAGGGGAATAAACCACTATTTGTCAGTTATAAATAACGAGAATGAATTGTGTTGAGTAAAAGAACTGTTACTTCACAGATATTCATTTTATTCATTTGTTGGATCCTTCGAGCTTTTTCTAAATTAATCTGGAAGAATAAGAATAAACCGAGTTCGAAAGTTAACTCATACGATCCTGTACATTATCAATAAGTCAGTTTCCAGTCTACTGTAAAAAAAGTGATACGAAGCTTAATTTCGACGCTAATAATATTACGATAATCCAGATTTTTTTCAAATTATACGTGGGTTGTTCTGGGATCATTGTCCTTTAGACGTGACTTGTTTATTTCAAATACAATTTTCTAATCTCTAGACGAATTTGACGTTTGTAAACAACATGCTGTAAACAATTTGCCTAATTCTCAGTTTATTGGGAATGATTAAGTTAAACTCTAGTTATGATGTTTACGTGCTACTTCTGCCCATAAGAATCCAATTGAAACTTTGTGACGAAAAGTGAATATTTTCTTTGTATTGATTTGTTTAGTAAAATTTGTGTCAAATAATCGATTGCGAGTATTTCTTTTTAAAAAAATGTAATTTGACCAACTGTAAAGCATCAATTTTAAATTTAAATTTAGGTATTGGGGAAATAATCAATATAATCGTCGACATTATGCTGTTTTATATTTTTTTTACAATTAAATTACTGTTAAACTGACTATATATCATCAGTTATACCTGAGTATTATCCGTGGAATATACAAGTTTTGGTTAAAGTAATAATAATAATAATAATCCTACATTAGTTAGCCGTAGATTATAACAAAAACAAGTATGGCTAATTCTTTTCAAAAGCTTAATAGCTACTATGAAATGTGTCTTACGTCATATGACGGAGGGTAATCAAATAAATACTTTATAATATGGTTTATACTTACAACTGTCAGCTATAAAAGTGAGTGAGAAATTATGTCTTACAGTTATTATTATGATTATATTAGATAAATTGATTTATTACTTCAGATATTAGGCTATATTTGAGTACAACCTGAAGCGTGTTTGGCAAGTAACACTACCGGCTAAGATGAAAGCGGATCAGGACAATCGTTTAAATAATCAACCATAGCCTTAAAAGACAGATTGTAAGTATTTACACAAAAAACATGATTTTAGTTTTTATAAAATACGGATAAAAATCCTATTACACTATTATTTAGATAATATGGTGTTTAGACAATGAAACATCAAGCTGGTAAAGTAGCAATACCTAGTTTAAATATAACACCTATACGAGGTTAGATTAAACAGACTGTAAAGACGTGGATATCTTTTTTAATCATTGTTTTCTCGGTGAAGAACACAACACAAGATTACACTGAATGGTGTAGGAATCCAAAGACAGAATTTAGCTTGGAGGCAGATAGCTTAGATGATCAGGTATAGAATGTTTTAGGGTGTGAATGATTGACAAGTTCGACACTAAATGTTTCTAACCTACAAAATTGTGTATCTATGACTTAAATCAAGTTACACCAGTCTCGAAAGAGGGTAAGAATTCAGGCAATTAGTTATGTAACATGATCTTTTTATCCACAGCTCTAATTTGTTAGTGAATGATGAAATATAATAAAGTGTCTCTAATATATACGTACAATTTATTATGTAATAAGAGGGATTGTAGTTTTTAAAGTATCCTATTACTACAACAAAAGATAGTATCCAGGGTATAGTGAGAGAGATAATGACAAAATATCTTATGCATTCCATTGACATTTAATTACTTTTAGTCTAAATGTAAAAAAATAATGAAATCACATAAATAATGAATTTTTCTATATCAGGGTCATTCTTTGAATATAATTTATAAAAGACCAGGAGAAAGCGAAAAGTGAACAATTATATGAGATTATTGTTAATCACCAACTGAAAAACTTCAAGTGAACAGCTAGTTTAATCTAAATGACCAACATAAAACTCGATTCGTCTCTGCATGGGGTAGTTAAATACTTGACGTAATTTTTTACTAATGCTGGTCAAAAACTTGCCATATCAGCTCAGTTTAAACAAATGTCTCAAAAGTGTTCATTAAAAAATCACCACTCATACTGTTTCACACATTATATAAGTGATCACTAATTTGATTTACCATGTTTCCAAAGTTGTTTTTCTGAAGTGGTTAGAAAATTATTAGGATGTATGTATTATGTAATTATTATCTTGCGAATAGCATAAAATCTTGATGCTCATAAATCCTGGTTGAGAGGTTTGCAAATGATTATCAAGCTATATCATCAGTTGATTCAAGTTGAAATAATGGATCAACCTTATAGTCTGCAGATAACATGCTTGCCACAAAATTGGAATTATCGTGGTCGGTTTTGGATGTCTATTAGTAAGGAATTTAAAAAGAATAACTGTAAAATACTTAATAGTTTTCAACAGTTCCTCATTTGAAGTAAATTTGTGGAAGAAATCAGCCTATGATTTGTCTACAGTGTTAACCTATAAAAGGTATGAATAAATCAGTGTAAATGGTAATGTGCATATTTTTAAGAGGTTTTTGTGCCAAAGTATTGTGAAGCAATAGGTTTTTTAAATTTCTATACATTCAATAAATACAGAGGCTCAACAACTGCTTACATAACAAATATGTCAACATAAAAGAGCTGATTGCAGGGGCAAAATTAGTTGATGAATTTTACGATTGAAGATAAATAGTCAAAAATATGTTGGTCTACCAGGGTGCTTGGTACCTGTGTGGTTGCGCCACAGGATTGAGCTGTACTATTCAGATTGTAGCGTTAAAGCCTGTACGATGTCTGGTTCCCCTGCTAGACGAGGTTGAGCTGTACTGTTTGGGTTTTTACGTGAAAGTCCGGATGGTGTCTGGTTCTCCTGAAACCAACGTAAAATTATCTTGGCCCACAAGGGTATATTATGTGATTATATTATATAATATATAAGTCAAAAATGTGCTATTTTCTAAGACTATTTTTATACGCAGAATTAACGCAATGACATCGACAAGCCCTTATCCCCATGCCAGTTGTATGGAGGTTGGCATTTTGCAAGGGCTGATGTCTTGTCTAGACTGATTGGTTCACAAATAAAACGTGAAGTAGACACACCAGTAGCAGCAATTAAGACGAAAACAGAAGTTCACGGAGTGTTGGAAGACGTAGTCGATG